ATCCAAATCAGAGGTGTATCAAAATAACACTACAGATCTAGCTTTATAATGATTTGTCTTTTTTCAAAATCCAAATCAGAGGTGTATCAAAATAACACTACAGATCTAGCTTTATAATGATTTGTCTTTTTTCAAAATCCAAATCAGAGGTGTATCAAAATAACACTACAGATCTAGCTTTAGTCACTCTTCTATTAGGCCTATTACTATCCAATGCTTCCTACGTCAACTAGCGGCATTAAGACATAACTTTTGAATTCAAAACGCGATTGTTTGTCTTATACAAATTGTTGATGAATGTTTTGTGCGGATATTCTTGAGATTCATATCGTTAATTAACAGAAAATTAACCCTTGTTTTTTGAGCTACGGAAACCAGCACGAGATTTTAAATACAGAGAAACAACACAGCGAAGTATAAAAAAAACGTGAATTGAATCTACAGACGTTTCGGAATTTACAAGTTCCTCCAACGGCAATATAATCCACGGGATCATGTATTATAATACTATTACTGCGTGTTCATATAAATGGATCATATAAAGAATGGTGTCGAGTGGAGGATATAGGTGTATGTACTTGTAAGGTTTGTTTGTTTTTTGAATTTCGCGCAAAGCTACAAAAGGGCTATCTGCGCTAGCCGCCCCAAATTTAGCAGTGAAAGACTAGAGGGAAGGCAGCTAGTCAACACCACCCACCGCCAAATCTTGGACTACTCTTTTATCAATGAACAGTGGGATTAACCGTCACATTCTAACACTCCTATGATAGGTAAGTTGAATACGTTCAGTGACGGGGATATTTTTTTTTTAAATACCGAACTGAAATCGTGATTCATTACGTCGTGAAATAAAAACCCATGTTCGTATTAATTTCATCAAGGTGTGTACTTTAAGCTCAGTTGATGGAAAAGTTTATCTTATCAATCGTTATCTTTAAGTGACTAATACTGGACTCAAGATCTAACCTTTCAGACAGAACTCCAGTTTTTGAGTTGCGCATGACAGTAAAAAAATTGTAACCTGTATTAAGTAGATAATTTCCATAAGTATTCACTTCTTGTTCGTCATTGGTTAAACCATCTTAACATGCGATGTTGCACGGACTGCGTTACGATCTCGGCGATTTTCACTATAGTAAGTACTTGTTGCCTTGTTTACTAATAGTTTACACAGTAAGTACTTGTTGCCTTGTTTACTAATAGTTTACACAGTAAGTACTTGTTGCCTTGTTTACTGATAGTTTACACAGTAAGTACTTGTTGCCTTGTTTACTAATAGTTTACACAGTAAGTACTTGTTGCTTGTTTACTGATAGTTTACACAGTAAGTACTTGTTGCCTTGTTTACTGATAGTTTACACAGTAAGTACTTGTTGCTTGTTTACTGATAGTTTACACAGTAAGTACTTCTTGCTTGTTTACTGATAGTTTACACAGTAAGTACTTGTTG